TATATATATATTAACTATTATTTTTAAAACGGCTAAACAGTAAATGAAAATCCAGAAAATAGGTCTAGAGGGGAATGGAGCCCTACGTAGTCTTTTTCACATGGAAACAAAATTGGTGGGGTAGATTTAAACCGGATATAATATAATACAATTTTATCTTTTACTTTTGGAATGTACAACCTTGTGCTTAATTAGTTCTTTAATAGTCGGAAATGATTCCACATTTAAACAGAAGGCATCATCATAGAGGTTTTTTAAAGTGACCACAAAGCGACCTTTGTATTCTTTGTCTTTTATTATATAATTTCCAACTAATTTTTCACTTAGAATCCACGCTAAATAAAGTTCATACCCTTTTAACTTTATGAAAGTCCATGAAGCTATGAGACTCAAGTAAAATGTGATTATCTCCGTCTTGTTTGTTGAAATTACATAAGGTATTATAATAATTTATAATTTGCAGGATAAAAATTAGTTCTGACTCATATTAGATCTGACTCATATGTAACTTGGGTTCAATAAATTCAATTGAATCCATAATATTTTACACGATTTTAAAATTGCAATAAGTTCAGAAGTAACTAATATTGAATTCTGAGCCCATAATTTTAGACAACATAAATACACTACATAGTGTTATTAGTAGCAGAGTAACCTTGCTATCACAATTCACTAAGATTCAGTCATTTGTTGCTTCGATTCGTCAAAAAATATAATTTCAATAGTAAACATAAAGATTAGATCTGTCTATGTTTTAATTTGATTATTTTGATGCCGGACTCTTATACTTCTTTCGTCCCAATTTATGTGAAGGTTTTTGGGTTTCGAGAGTAAAACAAATTATATTTTGATCGTAAATTTTTCATATACCTTTTAAATATTTTAAATTATTAATTATTGTGACTTATAATTCTTTTTATTTAGTTTTCAAATATTTAAATTTTATTTCTAAAAATTAAACATATTTTATGTCAAATATATGGCCAAAATTAAAAAGGTTTAAATCTCGAAATGCGTAAAGTATCATATAAACTAAGACATAAGGAGTATTGTCTTATATGTTTCAATTGGCCATTTACAAGACCAATACACACGAGTCAAAGGATTACAATAAATTTATTTTCTGGATAACAAAAATAAAAAGGGTAGATTTCTGTATAACAAAAGCAATTATTGGTTTGAATCTCAAGTTGTATACGATAAAGTGAAGTTAAAGGTTGAAAATACACTGGATGATTAGATGCTTTCCTATTGAATTTTTATTTCGAAAAAAGTTCGCATCAAAAGATGCTTTCTTTCTAAAGGTAGGACGTTTTGATAATGGCCCAATGGCCACTCTCATGTGACTAGTCCTTCACAAAAAACACTAAAGCCGCCTATCAATTTCCTGCTAACACAAGATGGACATGGCTATAATGGGAAGTAATCTTTACATAAATAGACAGTCGGATCGGATCTACTGTTTACTTTTTTAATATGTATATATATAAATTATATATAAATATATACATATTATGTATGAACTATACATATATTATACAATTATTAATTATTTTTAAATTAAGCGATTAAATCAGCGACTATTTAGATTAATTCTCCTGGAAAAGGCCAAAAAGGACATCAATTTATCTTTTAAAAAGAAATGGGTTCCATTGATTATCTATTATTCCATCCTGACCCACAAATGTTAGCTAATGTTTATCATATGCATGTATTATTTGGTTTTTGTCCCTTTGCAAATGGAAATATCCCCCCAAAAAAATTGTTTCATTTGGGTAGTTTATCACCTTAATACTACTACAATTGTTTAACTTACCATAATAGGGCCTCATTTGATTAACTTTCGGAATTTAATAATTTACACTTGTGTTACAAAGTTCTAAAAGAGCATCACCAATGCCCTCATTGAAAAAGATAAATGAAACTCTCCCTAATATACCATACATTACAGTAAACAAATAATTTATTAGAGGGTATTTCAAGTTTTTTCTTAATATTCTTGCCAAGATTTACAAATATTCTTTTTATAGTTTTATTCAGGAAAAATAGATCTAAATTCTTGTTTGGTCTGACTTCTGAGTTATAAATACCACCAAGCTTTCAATACAATATAAAGAAGAAAATTGTTTTTTTTTCTTTTTAAAGAAGAAAACTTTAGAAAAATAAGATACTAGTAGGAAGCTTTTAAGGAAAAAATAACATAAAAGTACTTGTGCTTTTCATTATCTTTCCAACCTATTTGAAAAGGATAATAAAATGATAGACTCTGCGGTCTCATTTAGACTTGCAGAATCTAAAATGTTTGAGGATTCAGAATTAATTAAATAAAGAAAACAAATGAGAAAATCATATACTAATAAAAATAAAAAAGAAAAGAAAAGTGGAAAAAGTTTCAAACCACAAGCTGGACCCATCGTGCCACACTTGGCACCCCTTGGTTTACTGCAAATACCATGTAATACCCCGGCGGCGCCACCCTCCCATCCAGCGGAGCCGTACATCCGATCTTATATTTTCCGGCAACATCAGGAATAGCACTGGTTACTCTCAATTTCACAAGCCTTTGCCCTTGCGAAAACGAATGTGTAGAAAACGGAGCACTCGCAAAATTCACCTCCACAATCCCAACCACCGGCAGTTCCACCGTCACCGCCACCTCAAAATCCTCACGGTACTTCACCTTTTCCGGCGACTCCACCAAAACTGGTCGAATATTGGCTTTATCAGCCGATAAATACTCCGGAGAAAACGCTTCAATCCGTAACTCCGTTGGAAATTCTGCAGCAAACTTGTAAAAAAAATGAGGGTTACTTCCGGCGAGCAAAATTCTACCGTCCGGCAGTAAATTTGCCGTTGAATGATACATTCTTGGGACTGTTCCTGGCGTCAAAGTCATAAAACGAAGTCCTAAAGGCTCACTTGGCCTATACAAAACAGGATTCAAACATGGATTTGATGCCATTTCAAAACCTTGAGTTCCAGCTTGAGCTCCATTTATAATAAGAATATCACCCGTTGGTAACATTACCATATCACCCATAATTCTAGCAAAAGGCATATCTTCCATTTCCCAAACTGGGTTTTCTCCAGTTGCTTCAATTCGACCACAACTTCCATGAGCAGGTGTGTCACTACTCCTTTGTAAATACGCTCCGAATTCAGCTCCACCACAAATTACAATTATAGCAGAGGAATAATCCTCTGTTAACGCTAACATTGCTGATGATCCTGCTGATGGGTAATTTCTTGGTCCACCTTCTAGTATTGGATAATCTTTTAGTATTTTATTTGTATTATAATCGTACATTACAGCTTTATTGTTAGCGAAAATGAAGAGATGTCCATTGGGTAGTAAATGAACATAAGGATAAAGATTATCATGTTGATTGTCTTCAGCTTGAGTTAAGAAAGGGAATTCAAAAGCTCCTTCTTTTCTAGGTGGGAAAAATTCAACACTATTAGCAGCACGACCACCGACAATTATGATTTCACCGTTTGGTAGTATTTGGTTAGTTGCATACCATCTGCCTTGTGACAGTTGAGTATCTTGAAGTTCTTCCCAATCGCAGAGAGAGTTTGAAGGTTCACAAGGTGTGAATTTTCGGAATTTGCGGAAGCCGTCAAGGTCGCCGCCGGTGTGAAGAAGCGTGCCGTCGGGGAGAAATTGGCCGGAGGAGCACCACGTGTCGGTGAGGATCATGAGAGGACGAATTGAGTTTGTTTGTAAATCGAGTAGAACAGAGTGAGCGTAGCAGTCTTTTTTCAAAATGGGATCGTTGGGGTCCACGCGGCAGTGGTGGGGAGGGAGGAGTTTACGGGAAGGGCCGATGTCGGTGCGGTCGAGGAGGACGACGGTGTTGAAATGGGTGACGGCGGTGTGCATGGATGCAATTCCGGCTTCGGCGACGAGGAGTTCCCACGTGCCGGGGAGGTCGGCACGTGAGGACATAGTTACAAAGTGAATAAGGAAGATGAAGAGGAATAGAAACTTCGGAGTCGTCATAGGTGCAGTGAGTCGAGATCACTGATCAGTGGGAGACAGAAGAGTTTGGTGTCAAAGTCTAAATACAGAGAGCTTGTGAAAAGGACAAGAAGAAGAAGAAAGATTAGTTTGGGAACTGAAAATTATGTAATGGACAAAAATGATATCGCATANTACAGAGGGGAAGCCACTATTTGAATTCTAATTTAATAATTTTTATATTTTTAATAAATTATTTAACACAAATATAAGATTTAATCAAAGTTAGTGGGTTCATCTAAATTCATATCTCCCATGCTAGCTACACCCCTATCTATCTATTTATATTTTTCGAATTTCGAGATCAAACGAATTATTCTTTGATCACGAATTTTTTATATATTTTGGATTATTAGTTATTGTAACTTATAATATTTTTTATTTAGTTTTTAAGTATATAAATTTATAATCAAAATTAAGAAGTTTAAATTTCAGAATTCTAAAAGTGTCATATTTTGGGATAGAGGGAATATTATATGTAACGGGACTTGTAGATAGCTGCATAAATTGGACGATTACCGGGCAGGATATTGGTCACAAGTACATATATTTTGTGCTTCATTTTCTCCTCTTAACACCATTTTTTTTTGTGACTTTGCATCTTACTTTCAATTAATGTCTCTGAAAAAGAAGGCACTTTATTAACAGTTAATATGGGTGAGATGCTAGAAATCTTTTGGTACGCAGACTAAATTATTTCGGAATTATAATTCTTAGATTAATTTATCTCACCTGAGAGGTGGGATAAATTAATACTAAGTTTGATGGAATAAGGTGGGATAAGATGAAATATCCAGAATTAAGTCTGAGACTAAGTTTATATTATGTTTGGTTACAATAACAATAACAACAACAACGATCCAGTAAAATCTCACTAGTGAGGTCTGGGAAGGTAGTGTGGACGAAGACCTTACCCTACTTCGAGGGGGCAGAGAGGCTACTTTTGATAGATTGTCGGCTTAAAAAGACGAAAAGAGGCAATATATCAGTACCATCAACAAAAATTATAGAAAATATAACTGCATCACAAGAACCAGAAAATAGATGAAAAGCAAAACAATGACCAGTAGATAAGACCCGACACTATGAGAAACGAAAGAATAGTATAAATGCAACATTAACCACTAGCACTTTTAGACAAAATCCTATAAGACTAGCCTCACTCTGGTGCGACGTAGAAATATGCAAAACTACCTCCTAACCTACAACCTTAATGCTCGACCTCCACAACTTCCTATCTAGGGTCATGCCCTCGGTAATCTGAAGCTACGTCATGTCCTGCCTAATCACCTCTCCCAAATACTTCTTAGGCCGCCCTCTACCTCTCCTCGTACCCACCAAAGCCAGTCGCTCACACCTCCTTACCGGGGCATCTGGGCTTCTCCTCTGAATGTACCCGAACTATCTGAGCTTTTCTTCTCGCAGCTTGTCATCCATGGGGGCCACACTCACCTTAATCCTACCTTATCCCACCTTATCCCTGTAATGCCCCATTTTGCTAGCTTTTAAATACATATTGCTTAATAATAGCAAGTAGCAATTACAATGATTAAAAAGTAAAAAGAGACTTAGTGGGACCGAAGCCTAAGGAAATTAGAGAGGGTAAAAGTTTTTTTTTTCATAAGAAGGGTTGGTAAAAGTCTTTGTCTGAAAAAGTAAAGAGGGAAAATGAGGTTTTAGCAAGAAAATCAAAGTAATTTAATTGCTTTAGGAGTTAGGAAATACAGAGAACGTAGAAAGCAATAAAAAAATTCAAGGTTTAACAATTCGCCATTCTCGAAACCAAGGTATTCAATTCTTCTAAATTTCCTATGGTTATTATCGCTAGATAAAAATTTAGTCAAAACCCTCAAGTTTTCATTCTATGAAATTATTTTTATACGTAAATTTAAGTATTCATTGAAATAAATTGACATAGATTTTGAGGTTCATATTTTCTAGTCATGGCAGAGAAGTTTTCTTGGAATGCCCATATGATAAAAGTTTATCTTTTAGTTAGTGCCAAAGTTAAGTGAGAGATCCTTCCATATATAGTATTTAATTATAGAATATATAATTGATATTATGGGTCTAGAACCAAGGATTTATAACGAGGTCACTTTATCTTTTTGTAAAATCAGTTTACTTGAATTCATGGCCTCGTCATCTATATACCTTTGTAGAAGAATGAAAATATTTAGTTGAAAACTTTACTTAAATCAGTGAGGTAGGAGTTTCAAGATTTATAGCTAAGTAACAACAAGTAAGACTTAATAGTTTATGAATTGACATGGTTAAGCCTATTATTGTAGATTTCGCGTTGTTGAATACTCGAAAAACTTGAAGAGACGAATTGCAGCTAAAGTTTTAAGGTGAGTTGAGGTTTACTTTCCTGGTAGGGAATTCCATTATAACCCTTGTGCTCCATATGTTAGCTAAAGCTAAGTCATATTTTCTCGTGACCCAATGCTCAGTTCACTTATTCTTATTCAGTACGACATTATATGTGACATGAATACATGATTATGTGTATTACCAATTATTATGTGCCTTTAATTGTGATATTCGCATTCAGTAGGGAGAAGTGGCCAACCTCCTCCAGCGTGAGTGTCATGATGTCAGGGTTACCTAACCCACGCTCGCAGGTGCCAGCTGTTTGTTGGGGAGATAGGCCGACACTCCCCCGTATGTGTTCCCAGATGCTCACTTACGTAGGGCAATTATGCGAAGTTATATCTTAAAATATATATAACTTAGATTCTATTTCAGATATCAGTTATGGGCTCAATTTCTATGTTAAGTTTCAGTTTTAGATTACAGTTTCAGTTTTCAGATTATTACTTGGTTGTAAAATTTTATATGATTTGTATGATTTTTCGTATATCCCTTTTCTTTCTTATATTTTGCAGAAGGTCTCGCTCCGCCATTTTAGGAGGTAGCCTATGAGACTTACTGGGTATCCTTTGGTGGTACTTAGCCCGTTTGGGCCTGCTACGTCGTGTGGCATGTATTCAGGACGCAGGTAACGGGGCACTTGACTAGAGGAGATATTCTAGATTCAGTTTACAGACTTCGTTGATTCATTCCAGCGGTAGCGGACCCTTTTTAGACTATTATTTATAACTTTTATTTTTTTATGTTTATTTTATTTTCGGGGGATGCCCCCGTATGCTATGTATTTTTTTTATTTTTCAGATTATAGAAGCTCATGACTTGTTAGTGGGTTAGTATTAAAATATATTTGGGATTTATTCTTTATTTATTATATTTATCAGTCAGTTTAAGAACTGTAATTTAATTAGAATTAATATTTAAGCATGTTAGTTTCTTTGTTATTGAACTTGAACTTTGATACAAATAGTACAGGGTTCACTCAACGAGTGGTAAGGGTTGAGTGTCAATCACGTCCCACCCCAGTTTGGGGGCGTGACAAGTTGGTATCAGAGCAGCCAGGTTTACGGAGTTCTAGGGAGTCATGAGCTGTGTCTAGCAGAGTCTCAAAAATGCATATGTTGTACACCATACTTATATTTGGGAGGCTGTAGGACATGTTAGGAATTTTTTTTTCTTTCTCTCCTTTGATTCGTATATCGTGCGTTAGAGCTAAACGTTTCAGAATTCTAACACCCATTTATCTCTCGTTTCAGCACAAACAAGATGGTTAGAATAAGATCAACTTCATCCTCTGCTGCTAACAATGTTGAGATACCAGTTGCAAATCATCAAGAAGCAGCACCAGAGGTGCAAGCCGCACTAATAGCACCAGCTGTAGTTAGAGGACGTGGCAGAGGTATAGTTCAAAATATTAGAGGTAGAGGTGGAAATGCCAGAGGTAATCGGGTTCGTGGTAGGGCCACAATACAAACACAAGCTCCACCTCAGTAGGTTGTTAATGATCATGTACTACTACATCACCAGGATAATCGAATTGATAGAATTTTGGACTTTATGGAGTCCCTAGCGCCTCCGACTAGTGGTCGGGCTGCACCTGTTCATGCTCTCAGGACCCTCATGATTCAGATGAAGAGGTTATAGGAGATGATTTTCAAGCTCCACTCTAGGTATTACCATCAGTTGTCCCTGCAAATATTGCCCAGGCAGTGCAGTTACCAATAGAAAAAATTAATCCACATGCCTTTCTGAGATTAAACCCTCCTACTTATAATAGTACCGATAAACCAAATGAACCAATGTTATTTTTGGAAGAGATAGAGGAAATGTTTATTTCTTTGGGTTGTCTTGAAACACAAGCCACAGAGTTGATTAGGTTTCGATTGAAGGGTGCAGTAGGACAATGGTGGAGAGGTTACAAGAAGGCCAGATATTCTACATTACCGCCATTTACTTGGCCCCAGTTCAAAGAAGCTTTCAGGGCCAAGTTTTTGCCTAGCAGTCGGATGTATGAGCTCTGACGTCAGTTCGAACATCTTAAATAGGGTACCATGTTAGTGACTGAATATGATATGGAATTTACAAAATTGGCAGAGTATGCACCTAATTTGATACTGACAGAGAGATAAAAAGTGAGAAGGTTCATTAAAGGCTTGAGTCCACATATGGCAAAAGATATGACTTCACATCAGGATGACAAGACTTATCTTCAGGTTGTCAATATCGCCACGCGTAAGGTGGCTTTTGATAAAATCGCCAGGGAAGCTAGAGATAACGTTAAGAAGGCTAGAATAATAGGTATTTATAGTGGATTTTCAGTTGGGTGTAAGAACATGAATCATTCAGCTCACATTCAATCAACGACTCACTCATCTCCTTATCCAGCTTCACTCAAACATGGCCAACAGAGTAAAGGTCAGGCCCCTCAGGGGCAAAGTTCAACTAGTCAGGGCCAACCTCGGTTCTCCTATCCTACATGTCCTTCGTGCAGCAAAAGATATCCAGGGAAATACCTTTTGGGTCAGAAAGGTTGTTTTCACTGCCATGATCCGGGTCATATTAAGAGAGATTGTCCACTACTTGGACAAGCTCCGGGGAAAACTCCAACCAGACAGGCAACATCCATGGGTAATTCTATAGTTGCACCTTCTCCAGTTCGGGCATCTAATACTCAGACTGGGCGTGGTGCCAATAGAGGTGGAGCTCAGGGAGGAGGCGGACCAGCCAAATTCTATGTAGTTCTAGACATGCAGAATGG